GGGAACAGGAGCGTGTCGGTCAATTATAAAAATATACATATTAGGTATAACTTGTAGAAAGTTTCTATTTAGCCATGATTTAATGCCTCAGTGTCATTTTGAATGTTAAAACCATTTTATTAACGATTTATGTAGAGCATCTTCGACATTATTCGTTTATTATAATTTCTCTCAATATCCAGAATTCTGACATTATCCCAGTCGAAGTCATGATTGTAACTCACCCTATGCTCTGTGATAACTGAACGAGCGGATGTAACTCTACGTGTATGGTTATGGTTTTCTGCTAATCTCGTTTTTATTTTTTCACCCGTTTGGTCTACATAGGAAGCATCGCAATCGGAATTCGATCCTGTAAACCACATTCCTTTTGGAAAACTTTTGCAAAGGATCTTTGTGTACTCTTATAAATATTTGTTAAGTTTATTGATACTATAATGAGCAACCACCTTCTAAGACAGAAAATGAGTAAATTTGCAGAACTTATTTATTAGATATTCTATTGATGAAAGGAATTGTAAACCTTCTGATTTTTTAACCTTGTTAGTAGAAGTCTTATAATTACAATTGGATTTTTTATTAATTTTTATGTCCTATCAAAATATCCTACCATATCCAAGTTAGATCAGATTTTAGCTTCTTTTCGCTAGATGTGGTATCTTTATTTACAAATATTCCGGTGGATTTAGCTATGGACTTGCTAGTAGTTGCATTTACATTGAAAATAATTGCAAGATACCGAAAGATGAATTTCTGAAGGCTTAATTTTGACACTTAATTTTGGATTCTACTTACTTTGCTTTCGATGATCAAATATATAAACAGACAATTGGTACTTCGATGGGTTCGCCATTATCTCCTATTATTGCTGACAGTCATGCAACAAGATTTAGAAAATCGAGTGCTGAGCTTCATTGAATTCCTATTGCTTTTCTACTACAGGTACGTCGATGATGGTACTACGTTTACCGCCCACTAACGAGGTGGATAGCATCTTGGAAAAATTCAACTCTTTTCACCTGAGACTGCAGTTTATGATAGATGTGAGGGGTAATACCATTATATATATATAATTTTTGAGACACTACTATTCTTTTAAAGAATGATGGTCTAATTTTTGACTGGTACAAAAAACCAGGGTTACTAACGATACATAAAAAAGGAACGAAGTTACTAATTTCGTTATTTTTTTAGTAACGAATGAATAACGGAGTTACTTTTACTAACGAGTAACAGTAATGATAACTAAATCACAATTTTCAGGAACTTCTAATAACGAAAGTTTACGTCTTTTTTTCGTTATTCCGTTTATATAGGATTATTTTAATAAGGACGCGTTTACACCACAGAAAAGCAGAAAGCGGAAAAGCAGTGGTTAATCAAAACTCCCGCTAGTAGAAAGTAGTACAAAACGTCAAAATTGACGGTACTGTCTAACAGACGGACATGTTCAGCAACAGTTATCTCTATTATTAAACAAAAATTCCTGATTTAGCGATACAAAGTATTTCTAACTTAAAGTTAAGATATATGTACAAATTTAAATATTCCAATATTAAAGAATATCATATTAAAGTCCAAATGAAGAACAAATAAAATAAAACAAAAATATATATTAAAAAACGATTTGTTCTTATGTAGTTATAATTTGCATAAATGCAATCATTTTT